TGGGGCACGCCACAGGTGAAGGGAGTTGATTGAAGTTGAAGAGGAAGAAGATGCTTTAAGTTGGATATGAACCATTTAGGAGCAGTTCCCTTCATGCCATCACGTTGCTCCAGTGAGCCGAGTTCTGAAAGCACTAAAATCACAGAATCCCCTGACTCAGGAGTTAATAAAAGGTCATTAAATACGTGTGTAAGTGCAGTTTCTGTGTAACGATGGGCCTCAAAGTCAAGGTATATGAGCTAATTAATGGGTTTTAGCACCGTATGGAGCTGTTGTTTGGACAGAGCCATGTCAGTTGTTTCCCTTTGTTTTGAGACGAGCACTGTTCTTCTTCCATCTCTTGGCAAAATGGTGGAGAAGCATGATCCCAAACTGTCCAACTATTTTTTTTAAAAGTACATTTCATTGATAATAACTGAGCACTGCTTTATTTCATAGAGACTTCCATAACAAAAGCCAGGCTAGCGTTTTATGTTTACATTTAAAGGCTCCAACTATTTGAAGCATAAAAGTCAAAAGCTGCTTCTCCAAGAAAAATATGTCAAATAAAAACGTTTTTTTCCGCCCATATTACTGCTTTGTTTTCCTTTTTCTCTGTGTCTATGTGCATCTCTACAAATGTGTATGATTCTAGATTATGTTTCCAGATGTGCAGCCCAGAGAGCGGTGCCTGCTGATTGCACTGATATTTAGATGATTGTTTTCTCTTTGTACACGAATGCCAGCAGTGTCACAGGCCAATACTGGTATGTGACTTGGGTTGATAATGGCGTATCAATCAAGTTTCGTGTCAGCGTGGAATCCGTTCAAGCGCCTTTGAGTGTGTGTGGGAGGGCCGCGGGGTTTGGTGATAGTTCAGCTGTAAATGAATAACAGCAGCAGCAGGAGGAGGAGATGGTGCAGATGATCAGTGATTTTCTTCCTCTGACGAAAGTGATGATAACCTTCCTCAGAGTTAAGTAGGTTACCACGCAGCCCTTCGCAGGCAGGTTTACTGGGGCTTTACTGTGCACATATTATTACTGGCTCATCACCAACTACCTTTTTCCTGCTGAATTTCCACATGTGCATCCATAGACAAAGTGATAAAGAGAAAGACAGCGAGGCGAAGAGGATGCCAGTTGTACATCTGTGAAAACTATCAATACCTTGTCTGTGAAATGTTAACAATTCATTGTCAGTAAAATGCATTAACTCGCAGACAGAATAGGGCACGGACTGAAGGTTTCCAGACTCCTTCTCCACCTTTCGGGAATAACCCCTTCAGGTAATTTAATTAGCGGGAAGACTAACTTCCAGGTCCGTGCCCATGTGACTTCGCCTTGTCAAGTGTTTGCCCTCAAAAATCAACTGTTGCATGTAATTTTGCTAATAGACTGAACTGTGTTTTACCTTCCGGAGATACAATCATCCACAGTCAGAATCGAGTCCGAGAGCGAGACTGGAAGTAATAGGAGCTTTAATCTCGCTCTGATCGCGCCGACAAAACCTCTCTCATCTATCTGTGTGGTTCAGAAGGCAGCTTCTATGACTGGTCAATAGGACGAGAAACCTAATAAGAAATAAAACTCTGGCTTGATTGACAATTAAACCCTTAGAATAACTAAAGGTTAAGGTGAAATAAATGACTTTAAATGCACTTACATGGCATCTTTCTGCCTTAGTGCTACTCAAAGCACTTTACAAAGTGTGATTCAGTGTCTTGCCCAAGAACACTTGGGCATGCCCAGGGCTTGGGGATCGAACCACCAACCTTGCAATCGGTGGACATGATAAGCTCCTTGAGTTCCAGCCTATTTATTGATGTCCTCTGTCGTGGACATTTGTTTTTGATCTACATCGTTTGACTCATTTGAGCTACTAATGTGCTCAATAGAGGACATCCTGGCCGTTCCAATGATATCTCGTGTTGGGGTGGGGTGAGGGGAACTTTGTTTTCATGCTGACACAAAAATGGAAACTGCAGTAAAACACACTTTTCTTCTTCTCAGGAGGATCTGCAAACTCTGATTAATCGTTGTTTTTGAGCCTGATTCCCAAGTGTGTCAAGAGCGGCACAAAATAAGAGAAAAGAACATCCCCTCACGTCTTCTCTTTCTCCATAGATCAGAAAGTCCGTCACTGATTGAGCCATTCAGTCTTGCAGCCTGTTGTGATATCAAAATTCCACCTCCGACTTCCTCCTCCTTTTAATCTAATTTTACTTCTTTCAACCTTCTTGGCTCCTCTGTGTCCAATCTTGGTGCAACAGCACAACGGACGTCTAAATTCCAAAAATGCATCTTGATAACAGAGGACTGAGGATTGAAGTGGTTTGTTTGAGGAGTTACAAGCTTGGATGCGCAGATCAATCCTTAATTTAGGTCTTCTCCACACCCATGACATAAAGGAGGCGTAACACACAGCGTGAACATACAAACCATGTTGGGAGCAAGACGAAAAATGAATACATATCATTCAATAATAATACTCTTTTTTTGTATAGTACTCTTTTGTGTGCCATATTCATCGAACAAGTATGTTTGATTAGGAATAAAATTATATGACATCTATCCATTGTTTGCACATGTAAATTAAATAACAAGTACATATATATTGTATGTTATCATGAACACCGCTAAATGCAACGGTCGGTTGTCTCCCATGTGAAGATGTCTCATTTTATTAAATACCTGTTGCCTTGACTCATCCCTTGTTGCGTCTCTTCCTTACCTCCTTCCCTCTCATCTCCAGTAGAAGTTAGTAGAAGAGGAAGTTGTACAAACTGGAAAATGAGATGAGGGGTGTGGCCTTCTTCCTGAAAGGGGCGTGGTCAGCAGCAGCCCAATTGGATTTAAAGCTACAGACACCAAAACAGCTTGTTCGGAGCAGGCCTAAAGCCAGGTTTATCATGGTAGGGTTAATGATTTGTGCTTAAATTTGAGCTAAAACCTGAAATACGCATTGTGGGAACATGTGAGACTTAAATTAACTTGTTAAATAGAGGTATGGTAAGGGGCCTTTAAGGGATTATACACTGGAAAGTGATCCCAAATCGAGAAAAGGGAATTTATGAATGTTGCTTAAGCTCCTCCATTTGCTCTTTCAGGAGTCTTACGAAGGCTTCATCCACAAACACACAACTTGTTCACTGTTTATCTACCATTGACACTACTTCAGCGTCTTAGGGGCCCTAAAGTAGAGACTAGTGGAAACTGAGTGAAACCAGTTTTAGTTTAAAAACTCCAGGATGGCGTTGTAGTCTGGACAAACAGAAACGAAGACTTGAGGAAACTCAGACGTCTATGTTTGCTTTACTGCCATTATAAATGAATTCCCTGATTTGTTACGCTCTTTTGATGTGAGCCAAAGAAATCAGGGCCCTTATATACGCCCAACACTCAGACTACATTCAAGTAATACATTTTAAAAAACCATTTAAAAAATAAATAAATAAATACATTTTAGAAAAAAATAAAGACATTAGCCTTGACTCCAGGTGTTATTTCAACACAGATAACAAATTACAGGCATTTTTTTATTTGTCCTTGTTGTCTCTGCAGCTGTTGTGAACTTACGTCCTCCATAGTATTTTCAACAACTAAGCAACCAGCCTCTTGCTTCATGTTTCTACCAGCATCCCCGCACCCAGCGAACATAAATAATCACATGACATTCAGGTGTGTCAGTATGAACGGAGATTATTTCTCAAATGGAGCTGTGTTTTGTTGTTTTTTTAAATCTTGTTTTAAAATGTATTAGTGTGGTTGTAGCCTGAGTTTAAGGTGTATTTAAGGACCATGAATTTTTGGGGTGCAATAAAAGTTACAGCTGAGGTTTTTTATATTCTGTAGTTTAAAGGAGGAGTGTGGATGAAAAGACATTTAAGGCTTTTTAATAGATGTTTGTCCTGACATAAATCTGTTTACTCAGTCACGTTGTGGGAACCTGCCTCCCTTTTTGGGGACAAAAAGCGAGTCTCCATCATGTAAATCTTTCCGTTTTAGAGCGAAGGCTGGTATTCCAGTTTGAGTAAGGGTTTAGGCAAGTAGTAGTTATGGTTCTGGTGAGAGTTAGTCTCGAGGAAACGTGATGCCCTCTGAAGTGATGAAAACACCTCCTTGTGTGTGTGTGAAGCACAGAGCGAAAGAGGATGCACAGCTACTATTTTCTTTGTTGTAAAAACCCACTTTCACAGATTTGAAAAAGTTCTCACCATGTCTGCCAGTTTCATAAGACAAGATTCAGTCAGCCGTTAGAAAACCACACGTTATCAGAATGTGTTGGCAGCATTTTTTTTCCCCCCACTTTTTGTCAGGTCATTTCATTCACTGTCATCCTCCTGCGGTTTGCATGACTCAACACTAAAGCTGATCAACTTTAACACAAAAGAAAGCAACCTCATGCAGTGCTGAGCCCCTGCAAAAAAAAAAAACATTTACCTTCCTCATCCACATTGTTTGCACTTTTTCGCTTGCAGGGGGACAAATTGTACTCAGCAAATATGTCTGTCTGACAAAGAGAAAATAATACACAAAGTGAATCAGAGGAGCATTATTCCATAAAACAATGACCTGAAGTGAGTGATTTCCCAAACAGTAGTGAGCTGTCTCGCAGACACTCGGTCTCTGAGGGCCCCGGCAGGGACAGGATGGTATGAATGATGCATGGTCTCACCACTTCCCAAGGCGCCCTGCGTATATATGAGGTGGCTGAGTAACTGAACAGACACATCCTGCATGGCGACTTGCAAGAAAAACAGAGTCTGGGCATCTGAACACTGTAAGAGGACATGCAAATTTGCAACGACTCCAAAACACAAAAAGCAGGTTATTGTTTCAGGAAGCATAAGGGAGAAGCGGCATTTGTGTCAGTGTGTGTGTGTGTGTGTGCGCGCAGATAGTATGTGGGTGCATGAGTGGCAGCAAACATGTCAGCTGTAGAGGGTGTGTACCTATAACCATAACCACAGAAAACACACACTCTTTAAATACCCTGTGCCGTACGTACAGTTTCACTCAATGACACCATCATGGGATGCTCATGGTTGTTGATTTTGGGCCTCGTCCTAAATGTTGCTCATTGCTTGGAAATTCTGGGTAAGTCTGGAGAGTTACAATCCATCTGTGTCTGTCAGCTGTTTATGGGCTTATTTTACTGGACCTTATGGTCTTGTTTAACCTGTGGCATTTACACTGAGCAGCGCTGTTGCGGTTTTTCTCACTGATTAGTCCAATTAGAAATGCACACAGGCAATAAATCTGCAAGCTGGATGCATCCTCGAGGGCACTAAATAATAACTATTTTTGCGTTATATTGCTGATGACTTGTTTGTATTGTCACTCTGGCAGGCAGTTCGTTATTATTGATCAGCTGTGTCATCTAAAACCACAGTAATTCCTTTACAGCGTTTTAAAACTAATATATGAGTGTCGTTAAGATTTTTTTTTCTTTTTTTTTTTTCTTTGTGGGGAAAACCCTCTCCGGGCTGCACTTATTTAAAGATCCTACTGTTTGGTTTAGTGCACTCTTTGTTTCTGCAGAGTCACTGAGACTTCCAGCTGGAGATGAAAGTTTAAACAAGTGAAAGAGTCGTGTTTTCTTAAAGTCGAAAGCCTTATTTGTTTACCACATCCCCAGTCTGCAGAGCAAGACTCGCTGTGTGCCACTGCTGAATTGTAGCTGTTTGGTGTGAAAAAAGAAGCCCCTGAGGCTCAGGAAATGTAATGCAGTAGGTGATGCATGATTTTTTTTTTTCTTTTTTCTCAGTTAGTTTGTATCCTTAAGGTGTGCCTTTTCTATTCTTGGCTGACATTTATTTTGGCAATAACCTGCAAGGGCAAATGAATTATGAACCCACTAGGCATAATTGAACTGATACAGCATATTTATTTCCCTCCCTTGCTGTCCTTTCCTCTTAAAAGGCTTTGGAGCCACTCCACATTGTTTCCATTTGCTGTGATATATAGGAAGACCAACAGCATTTCAGCTTTAACAGTGTTTGATGCAAACAGTTTGGTTTAAACTGCAGCAGCTGGCTGCATGTTTGGAGGTTTTCCTTGAAGCAGTGCAGCAGTAAGCTGTCATCATTTTACTCATTATGTGTCTAAAGCTGAATAGAGGTTCTTGGCTTTGACTGACTGATAGAGAAAACTGCGTCCTCAAGTGCACTTTGATGAAGTCAGCAGAGGAAGCCGACTGAAGGAGACTTGGTATGCATTGGAGTCTGCACACTGTCCTTTCTGCAAGTGCTAAAACCTGTCAGCTTCTATTAAATGCCCTTTTCGCTGAAACCTCCCCTAACTGTGGCTGATTTCTTAGCTGTGTGGATGGAAGAGGTCGCTGCTGTCTGGGTATGGATCCGGGCAAAACTTTTGGACTGTTTTCATTTCATTAACATAATGGAGTTCTCTATTAAATATACACTGAGGGAACAGAGCCAAGTTTATCAAGTGTCATTGTGTGCCACAAAATCCACTTCCTGTCTTCAGCTCTTCGAGTATGAGGAAGCTGCTACAACTTCAATTCAGCTGCCAGGGGTCACTGTGTACCAAAGAGCTACCCATGACTTGAATGCACCGATTTTTAATATGAAAGCAAAGACTTTAAATAGAAGAAAAGAATGCATCTGCAAATTGAAGCCAAGATGGAAGTGACTTAAACCTGCATGATTTTTAACGGCCAGCAGGGGGCGACTCCTCTGACTGCAAAGACAAGTCTAATTGTAAAGAAGTCTATGAGGAAATAAAGCTACTTGTAACTTGATTTATTAACATTTTCCAGATGGGTTTATAGTATCAATCATTACTTTCAAGTCTAATTCAATACAGAATGATCTTTATTTAGTAAGTTATGGTTTAATTCAGAGTAAAACAGATTATATGGATGTTGATAAGATGAATGATTTCTCTTGTCTCCATATTAAAGCTTAACCTACAAATTATGAGGCCTCTATCACACATGCTAGTAGATGAAAGTTTTTGTTGTTTGTTTTGTCTTGTTTTTTTTTGTTGTTTTTTTTTGTTTTGATCTGTCTTCATCTGGGCAATAGGGGGTGCTACATGAAAAAAAAAAAACTTGAGGAAAAGTTAAAGATTCTGGCATTTTATCTTTTTACTGAGAAAGTTAATGCAGTTCTAAAGTTTTGATGTGATTTTTGGGTTTTTAGTTTCACTTGCTGCCTTTTGCGTCCACCGCTTTGGTTCAGAAATAAAATACTAATTGTGCAGCTATTGGGGGGGAAAAGTCCAAAAAGTTTTTATGCGAAACTGCTTTATATGCTACATGGAAAATGCTAAATGTAAAACAAAGGGAAGGAATTAAGAATTTTTTGCAGGATTCACCAACTTCTCATTTTAGTTCAGTTTAGTTTTTCAGTTTGCCTTTTCTTTATAACATTAATTATGGCCTATTAGATAATAAGTTCTCTTCCATTTTCTGTTTTCATTTCAAGTTAAAACATAAAATATCCTCATTAGGTTTAAAGCTAATGTGCTAATGTTAGCATGAGCTAAGCTATTATAGTGAAAAATTGCAGCATCTTCAACATCAGCATGTCAGCGTTTAAACCAAGGCACCCCTAGTCTTGTTTCTATTGATTAGTCATTGGCAAGTTCTAATCGTGATAAACTGACCGAGGAGCTCATCACCACTGACCCAGTTAGTCTGACTCATCCATCACGGTTTCACTTAACCAGTGCAAGACAATGGGATGTGTGCAGCCTCTGTCACCGGCACAACAATGGACATCTATCACGCTGCAGTCAGTCCTCTCAGGAACACCAACAATCACATTTCCCCCCGCAAGACATTTCTGCTTTGCCAGTGTTTGCAATTTCTGTTGGGTTGAACTCCTGACCTCTCGTCATTATTGAACACTGTGTTGTTCTTTGTGTCAGGTCTGGACGGATATCCGAATCTTGAGGTCTCCCGCAACGTCACGGCCGTCCTGGGCGAGGACGCGTATCTGAGCTGCAGATATCTGGGTGACAGTCTGATCCAGACCGCCAAGTGGAAACGGCAAGGTAACTCTAAAGGCACAGCAAAGAGCCTGGCGGGGTTTAGACTCGGCAAACCTTTTGGCCGGGACAACTTCTCGAACCCAGAATCTCTCACCAACCTCACAGTTCAGATGAAGGTGTCCAGTGTGGGAGTGGAGGGAGAATACATCTGTGAGTTTGAATCGGATGAGGAGAATTTCTTTGCAAGCGTGTTCGTCTCTGTAGTAGGTAAGCCAAGTCAATAATACATTCTTTAATTCACTCAGATAAAACTCCTGACTGCTGATTTTAATGAAACTGATGCATCATTCCCCCCTTGACATCATTCAACATGTTTGCTTGTTAATCCATTCACAGCTCGGCCTCATATTCAGATCCTGGTGGATGCGGAGACCATAAATGATACTCACTTCCAGTCTGTGTCGTGCTCTGCCGTCGGTGGCAGACCCACGCCTCAGATCAGCTGGCTGGTCGGCGGGCTTCCTCCTTCAGATCACTTCTTCACTGTGAACGTGACTGAAACTCTGCACTCCAACGGTACCTCCACCCTGAGCAGCGTCCTCCGCTTCCCCACCCGCCTGCAGGACGAAAACAGCGTGACCTGCGTGGTCCAACACCCGACCCTCCCACAGCCTGAGCTCACCACAGCCGAGGTGGAATCCTACAGTAAGCTCACAAGGCCCATTGGTGTTGTTGTGTTTGTGCGTTGCCAGGAGGTGACATATTGTATTGCATCACCACTCCGAGGTTTGCAATCACGCATCATGACTCAGCAACTTGCAGCACAATAACTTTCTCCTGCTGATTTTTTTTTCACACAGGCTGTTCCCTCCTCTCACTCTGCTCCACATACACAGTGGCAGACCATAAATCACACTGCACAGCGCGATGCATTCATGCGGGCGTGCAGCATTTCGCTGAAGTCGAGCATATGGAGCAAATAAAGCAGCAGCAACGCAGCGACTAATTAACAGCGATAATGTAACGCGGCGCAGCGTGCAATTTGGTGACCGTGTTCCCTCAGTGCAAAATGTATGTACACGTGCACCTGTTGACTTGGTGAAAGCTCATTTTCCAATTTTCCGGCTTTGATTTTTAAAGTTTTTATACGCTACAAAGTATTGAGTTAGATAGAGGATCAAATAACCTCAGCTGAGAGGTACCAAGAAATCCAGCACTCTAGTGTTCTTTTCAGTTCCCCAACTCACTAGAACTAGTTCAGTAAAAGGATTTGGTCAAGAGATTTGTTCACTGAATTGTTCAGAGCTTGACCCACTGAGTAGCCCCACTCCATGAAGTGAAACAGGCCCAGATTGTGTATATTCCTCACAGTCCTCAGCTGTCAGACCCAGAAGTGCTGCAGCTTTGACAAACATCCCAAGTTCCTTTTGTGCTTTTGATATTTTAAACTTTTCCCTGCTGAATGTCGATGATGAACACTCATTTTAAGTCTTTTTTTTACTAAACTGATGTACAGTTTGGCATCACTCTTGAAGTTGCTGAGCCTGATTCAGACATTTTGCACGACTGACTTTCATTCAGGACTCACGTTCACTGTGTAGTGCATTCAGCGAACGAACCACTGAACACGTATCGCTCCCTCGCAGTGAAAGAACATCAGACAGTCGAACAGGAGCTGCTGACTCTCACTCAGAATGTGTATCTCTGTGAATGAATCAATGATATGTTTGCTCACAGCTGACTGAGAGCTCAAATGGACTGAGAACTTGGACTGTCATTGGTCTTTTTGAGCAAATCATTCACAACCAACACAGCACGCTCGATTTATTTAGTCACAACATTTTGCTATGCCTGTGGACTCCAAGTTGCTAAAAACTTTTGTTCATGCAAGTTTAAGAAAAACTGAAAAGTGTGGAGTTGTGTAGTTTAGCACTATGCTGTCCCAGATGACACTTCAGTGAATTTTCTCTTGTAAATGCATCTGACGCAAAAAGAGCAACAGTTCAAGCACAGAAACCCAGGTTGGTAAGAAACAGCTGGTAAAACGGATACAAAAAGCCACATGTTGGCTCTGGTTCAGCACACAAAACCCAAAATAGGAGGCCGAGACCAAACAAGTAGTTACCCCAGTGAGGAGCATCATAATGCAGATTTGTTATCGACCTTTACTGAACTACATTCTCTTCTAGAACCAACTTTGAGTTCATCTTTTTTTTTTTCTGTGTGGTTAATTAGCGACTTCTTTGTTTCTTTGGTCGTGAAATGGAACAGAACATCCAGAACATCCAGATCCCTGCGTGGATACAGTGAATGTTTATCCTGCAGACTGTATGGTAACAGTCCCATTAGCCTGAACCAGGCCAGCCAGCTCGTTTGTCCGCGATACATTTACACTCCGCTGAAGTACTGCAGCCTAGGTAATTTTCTAACTACGGTGGTAAAATCCACACATAACTTTAGGTGTTAACAGATGGAAATTTTCAAGCCAAAGTGCGTTAACTCACTTTAAATGTACACACCTCTCCCCAGCACCCGGGCCATTATGAGGTGTTAGCTCACTTCTCTTACTCATTAGGGATGTCTGGCTATTGCATTACACCACAACTTTTATGTATTTGATAATAGACTCTGATCTCTGCTGATTCCCCGTATTAAAGCCCGTGGTTCTCTCAGCTTTGGTTGGACAGCAGCTGGGCCAGACATCTGCTCTCAGCTGCAGCTCAGCCAACAGATGGGACAGGTGATAAGCCTAAGTCAGCACTCTCCAAAAAACCCGAGCAGAAGCCCCCTTACGGGGCTGTGTTTAGCTAACATCCAGCTCATCCGGCCCCGGCTTCCTATTTAACAAAAACACCCCGAGCCTCTACTTGCTATCTGACTTTTTAATTTGCTGGAAAAAACATTAGACCTTGTGAAAGAATAACTCTTCTCGCCTTTCTTCCTGCTCCTCAGCGAGGCCAAATGTGACCATTAAAGCAGAGATGGTACAGCGAGGAGAAAACGATTCCTGGGTGGTCTCTTGCGTTTCATCTGGAGGGAGACCCGACACTGACATCTCTTTGGCTTTGAACACGACAGAGGAGCTGCACAGGGAGAGCGACACGGATTCAGACGTACAGAAAGTGTCCGTCTATCTCCCTGCCACTGAGCATGAAGGCCGCACCGTCACCTGTGTGTTTGACCACCCAAAGTTCACACAAAAGGAATCACGAGTCTTAACTCTCCCGACTTTCTGTGAGTGGAATCAGTGTTTTTTATGTGAAAAGCTGCTGATTCTCATGAGGTAAAAGTTACAGGAAACAGACATCGTTTTTTTTTCCCACAGATTTGTCTGGAGTTCAGTTGAACTCCGAGCTGGGAAACATCAGCGACGACTTCCAAGCCACTGAATATTTAGAGCTGCAGGAAGGAGAGAGTGACGTCGTTATCGGCCTGGAGGTCTCGGGGAACGTGCCACGTTACAATATTATCTGCAGCAAGTAAGAAATATTCAGCGTTTAAAGGAGCGCTCCGTCAGTTTTGTGTATCGTGGAGAACTTCTCCTCAAGCCGTGAAAACAATAACTCCTCTGTTGCTGCAGAGGAGCTTGTGAGAGTACGAAAAAGAAGCCTTTTGTTGAGACTTGCAATTTTTAACAGAAAGCCTGTGTTAGCCGTCGGCCATGAGAAATGTGACATGCCAGGCAGGGAAGATTAAGAAAACATGTTATTCAGCTGCATTATGGAAAATGTAAAACCAAACGACTAAATGTCAGGATACCTTCAGTTCAGCCGCTTTTATTTATGAGACCTGTAACTAAAATTTGTGGAGCACCTCTTAAACATCTGCCTCGTTTTTTTTTTTTCTTTAATGACGACCGTTAAATCCTTAATGTCGTCATTTCGTCGCCTCATATGCGGCGACTGTGTAACAGTTTTAAAGACCAATATAGGTAGATAATGACTGACTTGAATATGACTGTTTTTTTTCTCATGTAAACACCATCTGAAACAACCTACATATCCTGTGGAGGATGTGGTGACACATTTGGTGGCACAAAACCACAAGTGACAGACAGCAGGAACCAGATTCGAGCACATTTCCTCATCAAAACGTGTCTTTTTTTAAGAATTTTTTTAACTTTTTTTTTTTTTAGCCAGTGATATTTTCATATTGGGGACATATTAAAACAGAAGCATGAATTTGTGGTTGTGTATTTGCCCTGCAGAGATGACGGGCCCTTGCCTGAGGGCGTGGAGCTGGTTGGCATGAGCCTCGTGGTTCAGGGTCCTGTGGAGCATCAGCACGCTGGTCTGTACGAGTGTGTCGTCTCTTATCACCATCTCGAAGCGGCGCTGCGGTTTAATGTGACCGTTAAAGCTCCAGTCGTACACTCTGGTAGGTGAAAGGCTTTCATGGCTGGCTCTGTTTTGAATTTCTGCATCGTCACTTTATAAAATATTGATGTGGAACCTTCTCTTTCCACCCTTCGTCTCAGTTCCTCCCACAATAGGGGTTGATTTGCGGACCGAAGATGGACGCTGGGTGATTGAGTGCTCAGCAGCTGATGCTGTTCCTGCAGCCAACGTGTCCTGGCTCCTACCAGAGGGTGTGTCTGAGGACTTTTGGTTCAATTCCACTTCTCAGAATGGAAGCCACTCTGTCAGGGGAGTTTTACTCCTCCCTGCCTGCTCGCCTCAGGAGCTCACTGCAGAGTGTGTGATAAATCACCCAGCATTTGAGGAACCAGAGAACAGAAGCATAATACTCCCTCTTTGCGGTATGTTCGACAAATCAACCGATGGGTAATTTTGTCTGAGTAGCGGACGTATTTGGCCAAGTAAGCGCACCATAGATTTTTATCTTTTTCTCAAAAGAAACCCCTAACTTCCTGATGTTTAACTGCTTTCCCACACAGCTCGGCCCAACATCACCATCAGCGCCAGCACTGAGTGGAAAGACGGTCACAAGCACACGAAGCTGGACTGCTCTGCAGACAGCTCTGCTCCTGCAGCAGCTATAACCTGGCATGTTGGGAACTCTGACGACAACATCAGCCATGTGACGGAGGCTGAAGTCCAGGCTGATGGGTCGGTGTCGGCCCGCAGCTCTGTGCACTTTCTATCCTCTCTGTATGCTGGTCAGAATCTGACGTGCACGGTGCAGCATCCGAGCCTGGAGGCACCAGAAAGAAGAACAATACACCTTCCTGTGCACAGTACGCTGCTACTTTCTTCGAAAACACTTCTTTCTATGACACAGTGTCACACAGCTTTCATCTCCTTCCTGCCTCCCTCTTTTCTTTTTCAGAAGCCCCTCTGCTGAGTGTGTCACTGGTGCAACAGCAAGACCCTTCTCCCTGGCTGGCAGTGTGTCGCTGCAGAGGGGAGGGTGTCGGGAAAAACCTCGCCTGGATCCTTCCTGAAAATGCCAAAAGTCAAACGTCCCTGCACTCAGAATATGAAGGGCACATGCTGGAAGCCAGGCTGACTTATCAGTTTCCTCTGGCCCGTCATGAAGGGCAGGACCTGAGCTGTGTGTACCAGTTTGAAAATGGGAACACAGAGAAGAAGACGGTTCATGTCCCCAGATACTGTGAGTGTAGCTGAAATAAAATGAACACATGCACACTTCAGAAATTCACACAAATCCAGAGACACAAAGTTGACCTTCAGTGCTCTGCAGATATCACCTCTTTGAGAGTCCTGAACCACACGACTCCTCTGAAAAGCCGCTACACTGCTCAGCCTGTTGTCCACCGACTGTCGCTGCACGAGAATCATCACAACCAGAAAATCCTGCTCCGAGTCGAAGGAAACGTGCCGGAGTACAACCTCAACTGTCAAAGGTGGTGTATCCGCTTTATGTACCGTCTTATCAAGATGAAGACGCTCCTGGGGGTTCGCCAGTCAGATAGGAAGTGCCAACCTGAAAATGTAAACTGGATCATTTACACAACCTTGATGCTATAGAGCATCATTTGGCTAAATAAGCTACAGATGGGAGATGATTAGCTTAGCTTAGCTTAGCATAAAGAATGGAATAGCTGTTTGAATCCGTCCAAATGTTCAAAACATTACCTTTAAACAGCTCGAAATGCTCAATAATTAACACTCTTTTCTGTTTATTTAATTTGTATTTTAAAAAACTATGCGTAAAAGTTAACACAGTTGGTTTTATACAGGGTTATATGTGGGACTATTTCTTGGCCGCGTGCTATAAGTTTCCTCCTGTTTTCAGCCATTATGCTAAATGTTACTTCTCCAAGAAATCATCTGGTGCACAACCTCCATAATTAACAACTTTTTAGATTTCAATTTTTGAAAAAGATATAGATTATTGAATTGAGCTTTAGAGGTCGTTGTATTGGCATTTTGATACTGTTGCATTGAGGCAAGCAAATTGTTTCAATGTGTCCCATCTATGCAAAGCTAGGCTAAATGCTAACAGGCTGTAGTATGCATGGTTGGGAGATTTATCACAATGAAATGTTCCATTTCAGTCAATATTAATAGTTATTCATAATTTTTAGAGACTTATTTTTAATACAGACCAGGAGAAAATATTAACATCTCACCTTAATACTGTTTGTAGAAAGAAAGAAAGAAAGAAAGAAAGAAAGAAAGAAAGAAAGAAAGAAAGACAGAAAACCCCAGAGGCACAATGAGGGTGACCAGAGTAAAGCTGCTCACCTGGATGTGAAGTCTGTTTGCTGAGAGTGTGTCGCTTGTAAGGTGGAGGTGGTGGGGACACATGGTTGTGGGTGTTTTTAGACCAGGAAGCTGGTCTTCGCCGACTACAGCCTCCAGCAGGGGAGGTCTGTGGGAACAATCAGAGGCAACAAGAGGGCTGTAGACCAGCATGCCAAGGAAGACCTGCATGGAGGCCAACAGGGAGAGCAGTGGAGAGTGAAGGGGCTTCGTTATCTAGGGACATGATCGACTGTTTATGCGCCAGGGAGGGAGTAAAAATGAGTTTGTTTTGTTCTTCATGTATTTGTTATTTGCTTTAATGGTGGTTTGCATCAAATGCATTCAAGTGAAACTATAGAAAATTCCATGTGGTGTAAACTAATAATCATCTTATTGCTGTTGATGAGGTGTCTTATTTAAAGCAAAATTTTGAACTCTTTCTTTAAACTCAATTCCAAATCACCTGTGTGTTTCAGGAGTGACGGTTCATCTGTCCCAATGGAAGGAGCTGCAATGATCCTCCAGTCAGAGCGCACAGATAAAGGCCTGTACACCTGCTTGGCGTCTTTCTATCACCACACAGCCACCGTCAACATTCAAGTAGAGGTCATAAATGAGAGTGAACAGTTTGGTAAGTCTCTGCAATGTGAGAAACATGTTTGTCATGAAACTGTGATGATTATCAACACACTGTTTGAAGATGAGATCTAATATCTTTGTGTACTGGGTGCTGCAGCGCTGATGGCCATGATCTGCATCTCCACGGCGTCCGCCATCCTCCTCATCTTGGTCGTCACCATTTGCGTGTGCTGGTGAGTTTCATGCTTCCACAGGTGACGGGTTTGCAGCTCGGCAGGTGATGTGTAGACGGGCAAATTAGGGCAACGCTGCCAGCGACAGACAGCATGAGACAAACAGGATGTGCGTATTGTTCACCCAACTCACCGAAACCCCAATGCCGTGCAGCTATTCACAAACAGGAAGTGTGCGGCTGAAGCAGACAGGTGTCTTTGCCACCGCAGCCCTCCATTTCAGACAGGTAGAAATTGTTAGCAAGTGAGAATAACAGATTTATTTTCCAGTTTCCTGCTCTGGCTCTTAGCAGTGTTACTTCTGGCAATTTGCGCAGCAGACTGCTGTTCGCTGGCCTCTTTATCATCAGAGCCACACTGCAAAAGTGAAGGTAAAAGGTTCAAAAAGTCCACATGTTCGGAAGTTATTAGTATAATGAAATTCAAGCTGCCATTCATCAGTGAAAAAAAAAATCCACAAATTCATCTCTTAATGCTGCTGCTGTTGGAAAACAGTCTGTGAGTCACGTCTTTTACAACTGATGTGGGATATCTGTCACAATCCGAGATCTGTTTATGGTTTCTGCCTGCACAAGTTTCCACATTTCCCCCCGTTTGGTGCCAAATCTGACTCAAGAATGTTCGTCAGGATCAGATTAAGTCTCTTTCTGTGGATAAAGCTGCACCGGAGTGCTTTACAGGTTGATTCAATGCTGCTGCCACTCTGGATGGAACATTTGGCGAAGGTGCCATTGGTTGAATCTCTGTCCCGTTATCCCTCGCTCCGGTGGGAGGGTCCTGTCAGGCTAATTTGGGAAGGTCAGTCACCCGGCGAACAACAAGAAAACATGACTCCCCGAGAGGATGGCTATTCTGGGACCAACGTCAGACCTCCTCACCCTCCTCAGGGCTGAAGACTCTTTTTGACACGGGGCTGATGTCGCCGAGGTCATAACGTACAAAGTGAGACGCAGCTTCTGACATCAGAGATCAATGATGAGAACTCGGGTCACGCATTGATATTCTCGTCGCATATAATCCTTTCACACCTGCAACTTGACGACTCGGACCGACTCCGTGCGTCCGATTGTGTCACAGTGTCATCTAGTGGTGACTCTCAGCCCTACAAATCCTTCAAAAACACACTCAAAAATGGGTTATATCAACTAATAAAACCTTTTTTTTGTTTTGTTTTACAGCAAAAGAAACACCCGGAAGGAGTATAAGGTACATTTCAAATCGGTTAACATGCACATTTTCAGAAAGTTTGAGTATATAAATTTAATATTTTACTTTATTTTAATAATTCCTCTTCCTTCTGTAGAAATGACAGCTAAAACATCCGACACTCAGAGCTGAACACTAATATCAAAATCATGTGAAACGATATCAATTTTAGTATCGTGAAACATTTCATTTTTATGAGCAAGAGTTTGATTACATGTGCCACATTGTCAATATAATGTGCAATATTTAATTTTTTTGGTGCTATATTTCTTAGTACCTCAGTATCATTGCCAGCATTACTTTTTACTTTTCTATTCTACTCCTATTTTAGCGTATTTATTTAATTTTCAGTGATGTATTGTACTTTTCTACTCGGCACTGCATTTCTTATGTCATTTCTCATGTTACTAAAGCTTTACTTTATCTTATATTGTCATAATTTCTCTGGTTTTGCTCATTGTTGTGTTGTGCAAAACTTCAAAACCCAACATTAACAGCTTCTGTCCTCCGCTCTGTAACTCAGAAGCGGGAGTCTGTCTCGGCCTTGACGGCTCTGATGCACGAACCCACCTCTCCGCAGGTGAAGAAGTCGGCGGCGACGGAAAAGGACAGTAAAGAATACGCTCAGCTGGTCAGCTACTCCATCGTCATCGACGTCAAGAGTACGGTGTGAAGACAAGAGGTGCTTTCTTGGCCACTTTCAGCTTAACGTTGTGCACAAACTATAGATGTGAAGGCTTACCGGAACCGCAGCAATGTTTGTGATCTCAGTGTGTTTTTATGCGACTGTAGCATTTAAAAGTGAAACTGTAAATGTACTGGATTATTAGAGTTCTTATAGAGATTGGCATTAATGATCTGAAAAGCAGAAATTTTGCACTTTTTTTTTCTCTTACTTGAATTTTGCATTCCATTGTACACACATTGTATTTTCAGGGATTTTTTTAAAAACTTGTCAATAAAGTGATTCAAATGTAATTTTCCATTTTGTTCAGTTTGTTACCATCAACTTACTCTACTTGTCTACAAACACATTTCCACAAATAGCAGACACGACGACCAGACTTGGCTCTGACTCTACACACCAACTGTCCTTGTAGTATCTTTGCTCGGTTAAATTAGCGGAGACCATCTGCTGTGACAGCAGGAGTGATGCTATAAATAAATTCTTGTACGCTGTAGGATCCAGATGTAAACAGATTGAACTCCAGCTCATGTCCTCACATCAGGCCACAGCACTGTTACCCCCTCTGGTGGCAAATCATCAGGAATGCAACGGGTTAAAGCAGCTTTTTCTTTCACTAACTCTCTACCATCCGCATTTCAAAGTAGTATTTCCCCGAGAATTATCATATAAAAGCTAATGTTTCTAATCACTGAGCATGAATGAGTGAACAGGCTCCCATAAGTGTTAAAAAATACCCACATCATAGAGTCATTTTAAAAAAAAACGTAGATTTTTAAAGATATTTTGATGTATTTTTCCGTCAACATTCACACGACTTATCTTACAAAACTGCCTAAATTACTGCAGCTGTGTTCGCAGGTTTCATTTTTTCATTTATTCCACTGATCTCCAACCAGAGAGGACGAACTCATCAGAGGATTCAACTGAGGGAACCTGCCAGCACCTGATACACACAGTAATCACAGACCACCGTTTTACATGAAGAAAATCATGTGCATACAGCATCATACACATCATTTAACTGTAAGAAAAGGTGTGAACAAAAAGCAATTTACAGAGGCTTCAAAACTGCATCAAAAGAACATGATACAGTTAAACAGAAGCGTACAAATCTGTACAAGAAGCCAGGAAGTGTCCACTGACGTAGTGATGACCAGAAATGACAAATGCAGTCCTGGAACGTCTTCATCTCTTCTTATACACACAGGGCCTCAACTGCAGGCCGAATTTCTTTACATTTTCTGGAGCGTTTCCCGTCTTCACAAAGTCAAAGGAGTAGAAATGAGTGTTTTCTGTATCCTGGAGACAGAAAAAAGGGGGGAAAAATCAATAGTTGTCACAATACAACTTAAGCAACTTTTCAATTGGCCAACATATGATCAGATTGAGCTGTGTGAACAATGCTCATCTACCTTTAATACATGTAACTGTGTCAAAAACAATATTCGTCTCTACCTGTGGTTTCCTGCCCGCAGCACCACAACATATGAATTATAAAGGATGTAGCTGCCAGGCACTGACTCTCACAGAACTCTTTAAGGAAAAACCCACCATGATGCCTGTATTCACAATAGATACTCTTCTATATCTATGTATGATTAATTCACTTTGAAAAGCTGGAAACAAACTTGTAAATGTAGACATTTATGTGGCAGAATACCCCTTTGCTGTTGGAGTCTGAGCTCACTAACTTGAACAACAGCTGTGACACTGCATGCACAGACATGATTAATATTTAAAAAGAACAGGAAGTTCTTCTGTCGCTGGAAATGTGCTTGTCGTGTTTCTTTCCTCACCTTTGAAACCATCTTAAAACCAAGATTTGCCAGGGCGGTGAGGAAGTTCCGCACGTTTTCGAATCGACTCGCCACTTCTGCTATTTTAAGGACGCCCCTGGAATAATAATGCAAAACAATTACACAGACAGCCAGTGAAGAAAACCAAACATTCTGGATCAATATTGCAGCAATTACCCCATTTTTAAGACTCGGTTGGCCTCGGCTAGAAAGTCAGCCAGGTTGGTCCCCATGAGAGAAAGACAGAACACTCCGATGTCCACGGAGGCGTCTTTGAGCGGCACCTGCATGGAAGTAATGTGTTTTACTTGAACGCAATCATACAAATTTGTGCAGGAATTATTTTTTTTTAAACCCAGAAAAAACCCTCACTTTGGCCATGTCGCAGACTGTAACCAGCTCACAGGCAGCCGCCAGGTCGAAGCTGTGCACTTTGTTCTTCACACTGCGAGCAATTTTGCAGTCGCCACAGCCAAAGTCTGCAACCACGAGAGACGGCGGCCTGAAACGAGAGAATAATTGCATTCAGAAGAGCTTCGATCTGCAGATTCAAAGCTCGCAGGACAACAAACTACCAACAAGTCGCTCCTCTGCTCCCAAACTGCTGACGCTAACAAGGCCCTCTTCTCCACAGCGGCATCGATTAAACACCCACAGAGCGGCATTATCTGCTGCGTGACTCCTCGCTGTCAGAAAGCCTTCAGCAGAGTAATGTGTGATATTTGCTGTTTATAGCCGATAAATGATGTCGCTAACAGGAGTTCTGGAGCCACAATAACCTGCCTGAAGGAGAAATGTGGCAGATTATTGAATCTCTTCTGCTCTTGAGATGCAAAGACACGACCTGTAACTGTCTCGAAAAAGGTCTTGACTGAACTCGTAGGTCTGACTCACATCAATCTAACTTTTGTGCTTTTTATTATAGTGTATTAATTATTGTTCAGATCTGAAACCAGTTCACCTGCACCTCAGTTTCTGCTCAAAATGTGTCAAATCACACAGAAAGATTCTCCCGTCTTTGTCACAAATGAAATGCTTTTGTTTTTCTGAGACATCTTAGCAAGTAAAATTCAGGAATTTAAATGCGAAAATAAACTGAAAATAGAACATAAAGGAACCCTCTCTGTAAAGAAACATAAGTAAATCACGACTCCATCGTCACACATTGAATTAAATGGTGGATTTTGCTAATTTTGATTGAACTGTGTAGTAAAATCATAATCAGATGTCAGAGTTTACACGTTAGAGACATTTAATTCATGAATCTTTACTCTCTCCTGTGTAACAAAAACCTTGATGCTCAAAGGTTCTTTTATTAGCTTTCTGGATCTTTTATCGGCATCTTAGATCTTCTTCAGCACATGGAGCTGGTTCAAGTGTCATCACATAAACTCAATATCAAGCTTGTTGTGTAAAGACGGTAAGTCTGATACTACAAGGTGTATTCTTAGGTGATGTAACGTCATCTGAGCCAGAGGAAAAAAAACCCTGAAAATAGCTGGTAAGTGGACTTTTGATCTTAGATTATTTCATGTCCCAGGTGTATTTCCATGCTTTATGAACTCAGATACTAATTTTTCCCACAGAAACCTAAGAAATCAAATTAAAGTATCTCACTTTTGTCGGATGTAGGCGATGACTGCGTCCACCGGATTCGTCGGCCACCTCTGCACCTGTGCCGTGTATCCTTTGTGGTAAACCCAGAAGGCCTGTGGATCCTGTTTGAACATCCGCTTGGCCTCGCCGCTCGACGTGCTGTACATCACCTCGTTAATGTAACGGAAACGGGCCGACTCCAGCCGCTGCTCCATGCGGGACCTGAAGGAGGTGGCTCGGTCCGGTTTCACCTCCTCTTCTGGCGCCGCCGGCTCGTCTTTCTGCTCGGCCGGACTCTGGAGTTGGGTCGTCTCCTGACTGTGGAGCATCTTCAGCAGCTTCTGTCTCTTCAGAGTCTGTTCTTTGCTCAGCTCAGGTTTCAGTCTTTTCGTTGGGGGCTGCTGTGCATCTTCTGTGATCTCAGGCTCGCCTGCTTTTAGCTTTGATCCCCCAGCAGAAGCATTTTTTTCAACTTTGCCACACATTCTTTGTTTTTCTTTCACATTCGGCTGCTTTTCTTCTGTTCCAACAGAAAACACATCAGTGTCTTCTTCAGTTCCTTTTCTTTTCAGGGGTTTACGTTCGTTCTGCTTTTTCGTTTTCTGGGCTGCTGTCTGACTCGTCTTTTTACTGCTATTGTTGTTACATGAATCTGTTTTGACTTCTTCCTTTGCCTTTGGTTTATCGACAGCTTTTTCTTTATTTGCTTGGTCCTCAGTATTATTCTGGCGGAATTTATTTTTACATTTCTTCTTGTTCTTCATTTTGTTTTTCCACTGCTGTCGGCTCAGTTTGTCTGCATTCTGTGGTGC